AAAATAAAGTCCTTGCAGGTTTAACATCAAGACCACGACTTTAGCTTAGTTATGCTAAAGAACACATGACAGATGTAGATGAGAGTCCTGTATTTTCTCTGAAGTTAATTTTCTTCAGTTGTATTGCCCTTTTTAAAATAAATAGATCATATTTTTTTGTCCAGTGTTTTAGGTCAGAAACTCCCACTGATGTCACCAGAGAAACTCCCTTACCTAGGCTGCTCAGAACATATATAACTCTACTGCCACCTGATGGCAACATGTGGAAATTGCAGGGGCAGATCTTTCAACCCAAAACTTCCAAGACTTTAAATCTACAGAACAAAGACAGTTTTGTAATTTCACAGAGATTACAGTTTTGACTAACACAAATGCACATGAGAAAATGTCATGAAAAAAAAAACTGAGTAAAAGCATAAAGGAGGCAAAAGATTCCAGTCTTGGTAAAATTACCAATAAAAACAATCTCTGCTACACTGTTACCATGTTAACTCTTATGCTTTTTTCTCCTATGGCAGAAATATTTCCAGGATATTGGAACAATTCCTTGAATAGTGGTTTAGACAATTGCATTGGTCAGTTTAATAGTACAAATGCTGTAAGAAAGAAACCCAAAATGATAAGGACCAGGATATGGATACTTGATAATATTAAGAATTATTATCAATTTTCTTAGGTCTGTAACAGTATGTTGGGAGTTGTTTTTTTTTTTAAATGTTTTTTTAACGTTTATTTATTTTTGAGACAGAGAGAGACAGAGCATGAACGGGGGAGGGGCAGAGAGAGAGGGAGACACAGAATCTGAAACAGGCTCCAGGCTCTGAGCCATCAGCACAGAGCCTGACGCGGGGCTTGAACTCACGAACCACGAGATCATGACCTGAGCTGAAGTCGGACACTCAAACGACTGAGCCACCCAGGCGCCCCAGGGGTTGTTTTTTTTAAGTCCTTAAATTTCTGAGAGGAATAAGGAGATGGCAGCGAGGGGGGGGGGGGCGGGGGGGGGCGTGTAATCAGGTAGATCGTCAAGGGCTGGTGTGGTTGTTTCAAGATTATCAGGGATCTCTTGTTGATCAGTTTCATGGTCCAAGAGAGCACAGCCACCACCAGTGTTATCTCTACCCCCATTGCATGTATTACTTCTACTCACTTCCCATTGCCCGACATTCTAGTCACCTGGCCACCTCTAAAGGTCAACTGGGAAATGTAGTCTTTAAGTAGGTGATCGTGTATTCAACTAAAAATGCTATTATGATGCAATTCTATTATAAAGATGAAAGGAAAGCTGGTAGACTCCACATTAACTTGATTCTCTCCTTTAATCTACTCTAAATGCTTTTAAATATGGGTTGCTTTGAAGAAAGACTAGGAAACTGTCTCAAAATAAAAGGGGCTAAGGAGACAGGACAACTGCATGCCAAGCATGATATGAAATTTTATCTTGCTATAAAGAACATCACTGGGACAACTGACAAAATAGGAATATGGCTTATAGGTCAAATAATGGTATTGTGTTAATATTCTTTTTCTGCTTTTGATAACTGTACTACGGTTATGTAAGGGAACGCCCTTATTACTAACACACACTGAAGAATATGTGGGTAAAGAGGCATCAGGTCTGCAACTTTTTTAAAACAGTCGAGAGGGGGAGACAGGGAGGGAGAGATGGAGAGAAAGCAGAAGAGAGAAAACAAAATTGGTAAAATATTCCCATTTGGGGACACGGGATGAAAGGGATCTGGGCAGACTTTTGTACTGTTCTTGCAACTTTACTCAAAGTCTGAGATTATGTCAAGATAAAAAGTTAAAAACAGCACTGCCTTAGTTCTAACTGAAACTAACTCATTAGATTTTTTTTTTTTTTGATGCAGTTCATTTGTAGGTTAGCCATTATATAACACTTTGGTTGAATTCAATTTCCAGAAAATTGGTAGACTTAGTTTCTGTATGTGATTTAATTTAAGTCTTTTCCCCCCAGATATTAAAATAAACAGAGCTAAAATGGAGACATTATTTGCAGCATGACACATGGTAAGAAGAGGCCACCTTCATGCACAGTTATAGATCTCCATGCGACATAGCCAGGGATCCAAAGGAAGCAGCAAGGAGTCTTCCTGGCCCAGGATCAGGTGAAGACCCTCTGCATCAGCCTCTCCCTCTGCTAGAATTAGGAGAGACCCCAAATTCCTGTCCATCTATGCTCAGGCATACATCACCAAGACAGCAACAAGCTGTGAGTTTCCATTTCGCGAACACTGCAGAACCTCAGGTCCTCCTGGATCTTAACCCAAATTCTGCATCCAAAGTCTTATACCTTACCCTTGTCAGAGCAGACAAAGCCAGATCAGTACCCAAGTGCTCCTGAGTAGCACACCAGCATCCAGTATTACAGAAAGCCAACCTCTCCACGCGGTCACTCTCCAAACAGTAAAAACCCTAAGACATCTGGTCCCGCAAATCTCCTGGAGAAACACGCCTCACACTGGATCTATCACAAGCAGGGTAACCTGCCGGCTCTTCCCCTGTTCCTAATGGTGACATCCACCTATTTTCTTGTGGGGCAGAAAATGTCATTCAAACAGAAACATATCTAATTCTGGAATTCCAACAGTCGGCACTGGTCCTTGTCTAGGCTCGGCTACGTTTCCATCTCTTTTTAAGCACCAAACAGCCACATAGATGCTTAGCTTGTCACATGCCCTTCTGAGCCTCCACCCTCACCCCAGTGGTTTTAATAGTTCCTATTAGCACTTCCCAAAGTGGGCACATCAAAGAAAGAACCAGGGGCCACGAGTGAGTGGAGACCCTGCCCTGCCTGTGAGCCAACATCCAGCTGTGTTTTGTCGTCGCAGGGAGAATCCCATCAGGCTTTGGGAAGCAAGAAGCACTGTTTTTGTTGAAGTCACTTATAAACAGGACCCTGGAAGGTGGGGGCGGCTTTCTGCCCCTTTATGCCTAGCTGTACTCAAAGGGGAGAGCAAACTTATTAATTAAATGTTTTAATATTTACAGCTAATAACAATGCCCTGGATTTGCCAAGCAACATTCACACCTCCTGCACCCTTGGATTTGAAAAACACTTATTTCCAAATGCGGGTTTCCACAAATTGGGATTTTACTGATAGAGATGTTCAGATTCTTTAGATGTTGGTTTATTGGGTTGTTTGCTTGTTTGGTTGCTTTTTTTTAATGTTTATTTATTTTTAAGAGAGCGAGAAAGAGAGACAGAGCATGAGCAAGGGTGGAGCGGAAAGAGAGGGGACACAGAATCTGAAGCAGGCTCCAGGCTCTGAGCTGTCAGCACAGAGCCTGATGTGGGGCTCAAACCCATGAACCACGAGATCGTGACCTGAGTTGAAGTCAGAGGCTTAACCAACTGAGCCACCCAGGTGCCTGTTGTTTGGTTGATTTTTAACTAGAAAAGCCTTCTTAGGGATAAATTAAAGAGTATTTCTTCCTCAATTGTCTCCATCTTTTTTTTTTTTTTTTTTTTGAAGAGAGAGAGAGCATGAGTGGGGGAAAGGGGCAGAGGGAGAGCGAAAGAGAACCTTAAGCAGGCTCTACACTCAGTGCAAAGCCCTAGAAGGAGCTCGATCTCACAACCCTGGGATCATGACCTGAGCTGAAATCAAGAGTGGGACACTCAGTCGACTGAGCCACCTCGGCGGCCCATCCTCAGTTGCCTCCTTAAAGAGCCAGGCAGCTAGATTCAGCATCACCACAGACACATGCTCTAAAAAATAGTAAATCATCTCGGAAGAACAAAGAGAACCTTTCATGTTCTAACCCTGAAAGTAGATGATTTCTACTTGCTATAGATCCTATTGTTCTGCTTTCATTGGCTTCACGATTCCTATAATGACTCGTAACAGCTGCAGCAGAAGCGACCGCATAGATTCTACTTGACCTTCCAAGCCCTCAGAAGCCAACACTCCATGCCAGGCCCCTGTTTTAATGAAACAGACTATTTCAAGCTGTTCTGATCATAAGCTACAACCCATTGGAGGCTGTGGCTATTTCCTTACCACTAAACTTGCCTCTGGACCTGTCCATGGCCCTTTTCCCTGCATGACCGCTGATCTGACGAGAAACACACAAAAACTGCCTTGGAGAAAAGCATGTGTTCCATTTCCTGACCTTGGCAGCTCTACTTTCTGCAGGACTCTTGGCACGACCATTGAGCACATCTTTTCCCTCCACTGTAAATTTGTTGAAAAGGAGAAGAAAAGTTGCAGAAACAACTGAAACGTTGCGTGTAAACAGCCTCTGAAATCAGTGAAGACAGAGAATTACTCTGGCTCCTCCTCCCTTTTTCCTCCTTCACAGAAGCTGCCAATAACCCTGGCCTGATTCTAACACATATAGGGACTGACTCTACCTCTGCGTTTGAAGGGCATAATACCGCACGTCCCTACAACCCGGTGGCGAAGGGTTTAGAAACTGCCACACCCACACTGCCGCATACTTCCATTAAGACTGGCACATTCTCGGGGCGCCTGGGTGGCTCAGTTGGTTAAGCTTCTGACTTCAGCTCAGGTCACGATCTCGCGGTCCGTGAGTTCGAGCCCCGCATCGGGCTCTGGGCTGATGGCTCAGAGCCTGGAGCCTGCTTCCAATTTTGTGTCTCCCTCTCTCTCTGCCCCTCCCCCATTCATGCTCTGTCTCTGTCTCAAAAATAAATTTAAAAAACGTTTAAAAAAATTAAAAAAAAAAAAAAGACTGGCATATTCTCATGCACGCGGAGAATGGTTCACGGGTGAGGCTGTGGTTTGCACAGCCTTCAGCTAAGTGCCTTTCACAGCCACACAGAAAACTGACATATTGGGTGTGGAATGGCCAGTCTGCACAAAGTCAACCCTCCGTGGCTGACTTTTCACTTGGGCGCATAGTTCGCACCTCAAGCAAAACACACAGCAGCCTGCCTAGCAAGCTATGATGTCACCAAAGGGGCCAAGTAATCAATCCTTTCTGGTACCATTTAGTATTTACCCGACATTTACCTGTGTAGCCTGGTGATTAATCCCAAGGACTCTGGTTTGAATCCCAGCTCCACCAATGACTCGCCATGTGACCTTGAGCAAAATACTTCATTCACTTCTTTGCACGTCAATTTTTCCATCTGTAAAAGGAAACTACTTCATAAACTTGTGAGAACTCACTGAGTTAATACCCGGAGAGTATTTAGAACAAGCGCCTGGCACTTAGTAAACTCTCAATAAATGTCAACTTTGTCATGATGAGCTAATCTTAATAACTATTAACTGTTTTTATAAATTTTGGCTCTGGAAGAACCTGAATGAAGGGTCATTCATTGGGGGCTACTACCATGGGCCATCCCAAATGGAGAAGGGCATAGATCAATAATAACAGGCTGGGGAAAGGGGTAATTCTAAATGCCACCTTTGAGCCTCTTCTTTGACCTCAGTCTCCTGGGTCCCTGTCTCCATTCTTACTTTGCTAAATTCTCACCTTTTGTATGCACTTCTCTTAAATGCCTCTACAGGCCGTTGGGCTTAGGGCTTCATTGTCAGCACTGCTTAGCCTCACAAGACTGAGATTTCTGATCCCTGAACAGTGCACAAAACGGGTTTTACAGAGGTGTGCTGTTCACACCCCAAGTGTTCGTCTGCTTCTCCTCACTGCCACGTAGACGGTGTAGGGTCAGTGCAAAATACGCCAAAGGCAAATTCTGCCGATGTGATGAGTTGATAGTTTGAAAACAAAAATGCTTGCAAGGTAAATTTAAAGTTGCTTTTGGGTTTTTGAAATAAATCGTTATTATCTCATCCACGATTTTGCCACCTCGTGGAGCTATGCAGGAGCAATAAAGCTGGAACTGGAAAGAGTGGCTTCTCCTGACACTTCTACCACTCATTAATCACGTGACCTTCGACAAGTGAATTTCAGGATTCTCCTCTGGCTAAAATGCAGACAGAAATGTCTGAGGTTATCTTATTGGGTGTTGTAACGGCCCAGTGAGATGATATATATACGACGGCGTTTTGAAAATTGTAAAATGCTTTAGCAATACAAAATGATATATTATTTACGACATACCTTATAACAAAGAAAGCATCTAACAAAGAGTCAAAGGCTGGAATGAATTTTAGTTCCAAATTTGCTACAAATTGACCCTCTACGTTTGGACAAATAACTATCCCTCTCTGGCCCTCAGTTTTCTCATCTGTAAAATAAGAGGATTGGGCTACATGAGCTCTAGACTCCCTCTGCCTTCAACAATCTATGAGTTCAGGCCAAACAGAAAGAAGAAAATCAATGAAAGTAAAATGGATATGTTCTTTTAAAAAATGATAAAAACTGAATTTAATAATAATAAAGAAAATGAAAAAAAGTCAGTAGTGGCCGTGAAGGGCTGACCAGGACAGACACATGACATCATGACGCTCCTTCTCCCCACTCAGACATGCCCTTATAGACTGCTGTGCCATTAACAACAAATCACTCTCGCAATGCATTGTCTTAATAAGGATATTTTTTTAAGTTTATTCATTTATTTTTGATATGGAGAGAGAGAGAGAAAGAGAGAGCATGGGGGAGGGGCAGAGAGAGAGAATCCCAAGCAGGCTCTGCTGTGAGCACAGAGCCCAATGAGGGGCTTGAACTCACAAACCGTGAGCTCATGACCTGAGCCAAGATCAAGAGTCAGACACTTAACCGACTGAGCCATCCAGGCGCCCCCAGTTTTATGTTTCTTAAAAGATTCCTAAGATTACTCTGCACAAAACCTCTTTGTGTCAAATTCTTTCTGGTACCACGTTTACCGGTGAGGTTGATAGCTGTTCATTTCTACATGTATAAACACATACATTGTCTCCTACATACCAAGCATTTGCTCACAGTTCTGTCTTTAAATTTCCTTTTCATTGAACGATAGGCATAAATTCAACCTTCAGCTGTCTATTTTAATAGTAATTGTAACAATTAACCCATAACTGTTTTCATCGCTAACATAATTATTAAATAATAACTTGTGTGTTCGTTAACATAATAAGTCTCATTAATTGCATGCTGTCTCACAATGAAATTAATCTATGAAGATCGGGAAGAAAACATAGGATGTAAGCAGAATCAGAGAACCTCCTTGGAGCTGGCGGGGCTGATTTTCAAAACATTAGGCTTCAGAAGATGGTGGCAGTGTGTTGGGTACAGGGGAGATGCAGTGTGAAATAGTAACATCAGGGCAATGAAGATACAAAAGTAAAGATCTCATGAAAGACTTTGAAAGATACCATGTTAGAGAAATAATACTAACAAAAGATGTTAGAAATGATGATAAAAATCAAGGCTTTGATCTTCAGAATGAAACCAATGAATGAGAAACTTCCCTCCCTCCCAGCCACTAAGGTTCCAGGCTCCATAAAACCATGGTTTACTGGTAACTCCCTGGTGCTGATACTCTGTGTCCTTAGGTTCAATCCGTAACGTTTCTATGTATTCACCCAAAACTATTTTTCCTTCCACCTTCACCTTCATCCATTAATTTACTTCCCTGTTCAGCCTGCCACAATCCGCATTTTCCAATCCAACGCCTCTACTTTCTTGACCCATTGTGCCACTCTCTCTTGGGCTTTTGCTCTTCCTTTCCCTGCCTCTCAGCAGCCATGTTGGCATCAGTAACACACATTGTTAATTTTTTGCTTTGTCCCTTTGGTGATGGACTGAACTTGCCACTTGTGCCTTATTTGCACCCTGAAACTTAGTTGTTATTTTTTAAGATTCCTGGGTCTCTTAAGAAAGTCCATAGTTGAATGCTCTGAGGGATGGTGGGCATGGGGTTAAATATGATGGGACCCTGAGTCCCCACATGACCACCACCACACACATCCTTGAGAGATACCAGTGGGTCTTCATAGCGCATAGAAGTTCCAAAATCTTTAGGATGTCTTTAAGAGCTCTCCACTGTTCATTCCAAAGCCAACTTATCTCTACCTATACCACCCATTTAGGATGGTCAATTTGTTCTCCTGAAAGTAGACAGTGATTAAATTGACAGTGTAGACTATTTTTTTTTCAATGTATACCATTTTAATAATTATGGGTTGTTTTTTTTTTTAATTTCTGGAACATTTATTTCTATTTCGTTCTTCTTCCAATCTGTTGGTCCTTTTGAATGGTCTTTGTTCCTTACTCATACTTTTGATTTACTGTTTTATTTCTAAGTTTTTTACGTTTATTTATTATTGAGAGAGAGAGAGAGAGAGAGAGAGAGAATGAGTGGGGGAAGGGCAGAGAGAGAAGGAGACAGAATCTGAATCAGGCTGCAGGCTCCGAGCTGTCAGCACAGAGCCCCACACGGGCCTCAAACTCACAAACCATAACATCATGACCTGAGCTGCAGTCGGATGCCTAACAGACTGAGCCACCCAGGCGCCCCTACTCTTTGATTTCTTTAAACTGATAAAACAAGACAACTTTATCATCTGTATCCAGCAATTCCTTTATCTGAGGTCTCAATGGGATGACTTCTGCCACATGTTTGTTCTGACTCTCATTCGTGGTGCCTTAGTTCCTCATGTGCTTTGCTATTTGTACATCTGTTGTTGTAGGAGTTCGTGTCCATTGGAGTTTTCTGTGCGGGAATTAGATATAATTCTGAGTAGTGCTGAGTAGTTCATTCTTCCAGAGGGGACATAGCTTTTCTGCTGCAGACACCTGTGGGCACCACCAACTTGAAACCCCTTGAAACCCAATTCTTTGTTGTCTGCTTTTGTGTGCCTTTTTGTTCTAAGTCACCCTCTTAGAAAAGGTGTTGTTGCCCAAGAGTCCCAGTGTTGGCAGTGGGGGACCGGGATGCACAATTCAACTCTTTACCTTACACTGGCCCAAGACTTTGTGCCCTGTTCCCCCAAGTGATCACCAGGGATCATAAGACTCCCTTAAGGCAGGTTCCACACACTCTCAGCTCTCTGGGTTTACTTTTCTACCTTGTTTATAGTCTCTGAAAATGACCCTTTCTTTCAAGTTCAGCCATGCATTTAGGGTGGTTTATTCTAGTTCAAGCAGAATTTTTGGCTATTTTGCAGCAAAACTTGAAGACGTTAGATTCACGTTGTTGCAAGAAATGGCAGATCTGCAATTAAAAAAAAATTAACACTGTTTCTTGCACTCAGCCTTGTATAACTGTAGTAATTTTGCTTCTCAGACAAACAACTCATTCTGTTCATTCTGAGATGAACCTAACCATTCAGCCCATCAGCAGTACATACCCTAGAACCAAGGACCTCTGATTCTCATTTCATTCCTGTGGGCCAGGATCACAAGCTTTCCCTGCAACATGCCAGATGGTATATATTTCTGGTTTTGCAGGCCATACAGTTTATCACAACTACTCAATTCTGCCATTGCAGCAGTAAAATGGCCAAAGACAACACATAAACACGTGAGCATGGGTGTAGTCCAATAAAACCTTATCTTTGGACACTGGAATTTGAATTTTGTATTATTTTCACATCATGAAATAATTTAATTTTTTAATTTTTTTCAACCAGTTAAGAATGTGAAAACCCTTCTTAGGTCATGGACCACACAAAAACAGGTGGCAGGCTGGCTTTGGCACACGGACCCTAGTTTGCTGACCCCTGCCCTGGACCGTGGTTCTCAAATGGGGTACACATCAGAATCCTCTGTGCAATGTTTTAAAAAAACAGAGATGCTCAGCCCTGACCTCAAACCTACAGAATGACAATTTCTGGTGGTGGGTCTTAAGGTTGTATGTCTTTTAAAGTTCCATAAGTGATTCTGATAAGCACCCCTCATTCAGAAAGAGTGACCTAAATTCTTTTCTTTCTAGAGCTTGAGGGGGCTCCCCACGTGACAGTCTATTGTGCACAACTAGCCCATTTTTTTTGACTCTGAAGCAAGTCATATAATTGCCTCATCCAAATAACTTGTCACAATATAAAACTAAATATGTAAATAAAAGTGATTAATCACAATGGTTTTTGGTACATTTCTTATGACAAATACCTACAACGTGCAAGTAAAAAAAATGATATATGAAATACAATACATCACACATCAAAAAGAAGAGGGATTCAGTCAACAAAATAGGTTTGCAATTTGGAAGCAAGAACAATGTATATCCGTATCTCACACCAC